CCTGAACATCAGAGAACCTCTGCTGTGTGCCTCGCTCCTCGGCTTGTTTTTCCACAGCTGGTAAAACCTCCGGATTGGCTGCTGAGTTTAATGACCCTCGCTGTAAGAACTGGGGTCATAAAAGCCCGATTATCTGGTGACCTGATGTTCGGATACCGGACGCGTTGTTTGTTAACGATAAACTATTTAATATTTATGTAGTGCAATAAGCACTGATTGGCTCTAAATACAGGTGTGATTCCTGTACTTAGTCTTATTATGATTGCATGTAGTACTGTTGTTATGGATACTTGTATGAAATGCTGTATTTTTGAAAAACACAACTATACTGTGTTTATAGTTTATACTTTATATATATATATATATATATATCCATATATTGTATACATATCTCTTCTAATTTTAACAAAATGATAAATTAAAAATAATTATTTTATATATATAATATTCTACATGCGTTCGATCTTACCATCTCCTGCCACCTAGTGGTGGAAGAGGAATGGATTCATTTATTTGACAATGAATGTTTTGAAGAAAACTGGCTTTATAGACAAATATTACAGCTGTAAATAAACTACAAAATTGTCCAGGTATCTCCAAAGTCCCCTCGGCCCCCATCGCCCCTTGTAGATAAGACTATTGCTTCATTTTCTACTATATTTATTGATGGCTCCTGTAGATAATTCTGGCTGAAATCCAGATTTTTAGCCATGTGATCCACTGTAATCCGTTTAACTTTACTTCTGACGGTGTTTCATACCATGTCAGCGCAAACATTTGTGTTTCCAAAACATTTCTGGTGTTATCTGTGACGGTGTCATTACACTGCCACTGAACTCTGTACACCTCAGTGATTACGTAAAATCATTTGTTGTTATCACAAATAGTTACACACTGGGAAAAGTAAAGGTGGGAGAACGTTATCAAGTGCTGTTCGCCGACACAGAGTTTCTTGTTTCTTTCTTAGATTACATTCCTGTTTAAATACGACGGCATCACATGATGTGTGTTCCGCCCTCTACCGGACATATGAATAACTCAATCTTCTTCATCTATCTTCTTCATTTAGGATTTATTTAAAAAAAAAAGCAAAAAAAGCAAAATAAAGTCTTCATATATTTTTCATGTATTTACAATAGAATACATTATGATTTTAAATTTACAGTGGACATATTTAGCCTACAGCTGATGATGCAATTTGTATAAAATTTGGCAAATGTAATTATATGGCAAAATGCATTTTTATTTATTATTATACTAAAAAAAATCACAGACCTTGAGGTAGTTGTAAATGTCTGAGGGATAAAAATGCACACTTTGGACCTGGTCTCTTTGTTTCCGTCAGGGTTTCATCTTAATAAATAATGTTTAAAAAATATAAAAAATAAAGTTGTTTAATGGCACTGTTAACTTACTGTAGGTTATTTATGGCTTACTCATATGCAGAGTAGATACAACATATTGGTGCCATTGGTTTTTTTTGTTCTTTTGTTCTTCATCACTGTGTAAAAAAATATATGTCGTTGGCAACAAACGTCCTTAATCTTCATGTTTACTGATTTTCAGAAGCCGCCGTAGAATCACGTCCACCGGTCCTGTAGGGAGCCTCCTGATGAAACTCCAGGCCTCCAGACGCCTCATCCCCAGCATGCTAACACCTTCGATCTCTAGGATCTCATCACCAGGACGCACCTTATCAACTGGACCTCCTGGAAGGACATCAGAGAAGAGGGTAACACAAGATCCATTTATGGAAAGGTTAGCAGCAATTCTGACAAATGTTATTGTTTTTCTTTTAAATATAAACAGGGACAGGCAATGTTAGACACATGGACAAGTGTTCGATTTTAAACAGCTCAGAGGGTTTGAATGTCCAGATTCTCTGTAACATGTGCACACCAAAAAAAGTCCTTATCTGTTATCTGTTTACTAAAGGTCTCTGGCGTCCACACAGAGCAGCAAACAGACAGATCTTTTCTTTGATTTTTTTTTTACTAAGATAGGGGTTACCAAAGTGAGGGTCATGTCCTTTAAATGGGACACGCAGTGCTGTTGTGGGGGGACATGCCAAATGTGGGTGGTTGACAATAGTCTCATCTACAATTATTTATTATTTAAAATATATCGGGGTTTTTTTATTCTTTGATATATTGACAGTTTTTATTTGAGTACAGTTTGAGCTCTCACCCTGAAAAACCTTCTGTACACTGAGGGGTCTGTTCCCCAGACTGGAGCCCACACCCCCCTCCAGACTGAAGCCCAGATCTCTGTCATTCTTCTCCAGTCGCACACACATGTCCCAACCTGAGAGGAATGGAAAAACGCACACGCACAAGTGGTTATCTTATTTTCAACAACTGCAGATTCAGCACCGATAACTTCGATATCTTTCGGAGTGCTCGGCTCGTTTCTCACCCGCCTCGGTGAACTGAGGAGTTTGCGTTGGTGCCTGAATACATGTTTTTACTCCACTCTTCGTAGCATCACCAGCATCTCCCCTCCTCACGACAACCACTCCCATCTCCCGAGTCTTGGCTCTCCTCAGCACTCTTAAAACCTCCCAGTGAGCAAAGCCAGACAGTGCTGTGCCGTTGATGGACAACACACGGTCTCCTTGTCTAATGGAGCCTTCCTGAGCGGCTACGCCGGAGTGAAACACCTTATGGACCTGAGCGGACAACGACAGGCTCGCCAGGTCACGTGACACAAGAAAACATTTTTTGTTAAATGGATTTGAAGGCCGGGATTTCTCACAGTGACTGGTTTGTTCTGGTCGACACCTCCTGCCACACTGAAGCCCAGACCCACTCCCATCTCCTTGTGAAGAACAACCACTTGCACAGCATCATAGTCCTGTGACAGAGATGGAGAGCACCCAGAGATTGTTTACCCCACACACAGAAGATAAACAGGATGAACTGACTGATGTCATAAATTGTTGCAAAATTATGGAAGATGAGAAAAAAGTTCTTAAATGTCGATTAGTGCGCACCATCGCTGGTACAGTACCTGCTGACTCTCCCCCAGGTTCTTGACGTCCTGCAGCAGCTTGTCCAGCTCTTCCGTGGGCATCACTGACACGTAGGAAAGCGCAGACACGTCGGAGCTCAGGGAGGCCGACCGTCCGCCCGTCGACTGCCATTCGTCACTGTCGTTTTCAGACTCGTTCTCAATTCCCGCAAAGTTACACAGGTCTGACAGACTGTGGGGTTCAAACGGAGAGACGAGGACTTAAAACAACGTTTGTTGATTTCAACCAAACTCATCTGATTACATTCAAAGTGTACTGACCTGAGGCTGAAGCTCTTTCGATCCGACTGGCTCATGTTACTGGTGATGGTCACGGAAGACTCTCCCGAGTCAGAATCGTAGGGGGAATCTTCATCCTTCTGCGTACCTTCATCGTCATCGTCATCTTCCACATCGTTGCCACCGGCATTCCAGACCATAAAGGCCGAGTTGAGGCCGGAAACCCAGGCATTGAGGTCCAGAGCTTGTTTCTTCTTCTTCTGGTGCACACCGCTGTCACCAAGAGAGATGGGATCAGGGAGGTTGTTGTAGGGTGAGGAGGACACAGGGTGAGGGGGAGGTGTGGAGTCTGGTTCAGGAGTTCTGACTGGTGTGCAGACAGAATCTCTGTCACATGGATCTGTCCTGGGAAAGGACTTTTCAGCTGTAGGTGAATGGAAGGGTGAGTTGTTGGGAGTGTTGGTTGGAGTCTCATCTTCATCACCTATAGAGGAGGTCATTGTCAGCTTATGTCCACCAGAGGGCGTCTCATTTGATGGCATATCTGTGGCTCCTAAGTGTTTCAGACCGGATTCTTCAGGGCTGGAGACTTTGGAGAAATCCGTCTCATCGAAGTGAAAGCTGTTCTGTTGTCTCATAGTTTCTCTGTTCAGAGGAATTTCAAGTGTGGTCATAAATCTGGAATTCTGACCCAACTCTTCAGGAATCTGAACTTTTTTATCTTTCACAACCAAGTCGTTCGTCTCCCTTTCTGTCCTCCATGGTCTGACCATGTCTTCTGATATGAACCTGTCCAACAGGAGCTTCCTCTTGGCTCGTAGCACCTCCTCTTCACCTGTGCTCTTCACCTTCCCTTCCTCTTTCAATCCCTCCCACTTGTCTCTAAAGCTGCTTATTTCCTTGGCTGACCCACTTTTCCTCACTCCGTCATGGTCCACGCTGTGCTGTGCTGGCACCGAGAAGGCTCTTCTGGGCAGCTGCTGCTGTCCTGTCGCCAAACTCTGAGATTTCTGTGACAGAGCTTCAAACTGATTGATCTTGTTTCTCACACTGGCTGCGGAGGAGAAACCAGTCCGATCCTTTCTGTCTGTTGTTTTCAATGTGTTTTTTCCTGTGTATAATTCAAATACGTCCTCGTCTGTGCTGAGACTCCTCACTGGGGTTGGTTCCTTTGAACCGTAACTCGTTTCTTTTGGTCCATTGGTCTCTCCCTTGTCTCTCCAGAGAGTCACCTGATAAGTGCTCCGGTTCGTGCTGAAAGTTGTTGGAACGTCTTGAGGAACATTAAAGCCTCCTGAAGCTCTGGCAGATCTTATCTGAGCAGCTACAGAGTTCCGGCTCCTGGCTCTGTCCAAAGACCTGGTGCCTATGTCCGCCAACCCCGTCCCTGGGGACATTTCCTCTGAAACTCTACCCTGCACCTTCCCCTGCCATGGTCTTCTGGTTCCCTCTGTGGAAAATGAACTTTCTGGACTCAAAGTATCCTTCTGTGGTGACCACGTGGTCGTGCTAGGCACCGGGCTGTAGGAGTGTTTCTCTCCTGAGAAACGTCGTGGAAAAGTTCCATACTCATACGACCTGAGTTGTGGTGAAACGGGGGAGTCTGGTGAAGTGGAGGGGTCTCTGAATCTGCTGTATTCATTAGCTTTACCAAAACCAGCAGATCCATAGAGTTTCTCTATCCGCTCCAGGATACTCTGACCTCCAGCTGGACCCAAGGACAGAAATGTCTCTGTGGACCTAGACTGGGACTTGATCCTGGAAGGGAGGGAATTACCCCAGCTCAGGGCACCCAGGTCACTGACTGGGCTTTTCTCTTGAACACCAGTTCTACCTGCAGAACTGTAGACGTGCACAGAGGACGTCACCCTGGTCTTCACAGTCTCAAGTCCTGTTCTTTTTTCATCAAAGCTGTTGACGCTCGGTCCTGAAGTGGTTGACAATGTGTCATCTCTTCTGCCGTGACCTGGACTCTCCCCTGTCCTACAGTCCAAACTCTTACTTCTACTGCTCAGAGTGTGTCTCCTCCACTCCGTCCTGCCCCTGCTGTCGTTTCCAGACTCTGTCTTTCTTTCTGTCTCTGAGATCAGCTTGTGTTCGGTACCGTTGTGTGTAAGTTTAGAGGAAATCTCATGCTCCTCATGTTGACCTCTGACATTGCTGAAACCACCAATCCTGGTCTGATATTTTGCAATTCCATTCTCATCCCTGTTTGTCCAACTTGTGTTTGTCCCATATGTTAATCTTTGTCCAACATCTTTGGCATCCTCCCTCTTTTGGTCTGAGAGACTCCTTTTTTTAATACCTGGTCTGCGGGTGAGAGCATATGAAGGGGAGTTAGCCGAGCGGACAGTGAAGCGTGGCTCTGTCCGCCCCGTGCCCTCGTTCCCAGGAGGAGGGAGGACGGACAAGTCCATTGTCAGAAGTAAACAAAGTAAATGACCTCCTGTCAAGAGCCAAATCCCAAAAAAAAAAAAATCAGATGATTGAACTGATACTTGTCCAAATCCAAGCAACCGTCCTTTAGACTGAACTCTGAAACCAGTCCATTTGAGAGCTGCCTCTGTGGGTCAACGCCACCCACATCCTCTGCCCCCTCTACTCCACAGATGTTTGGATTGAAAACAACAGCAAATACGTTTTTAAAAAATACATATATAAATATATATGTATATATATATATATATATATCCGTGATGCTTGATAATTGCTGTGTTGAGGTCTAGGTGTGATGACTCCAACAGGTTCCGCCTTTTATTCTGGTCGTTGCACAACTTTCCAGTTCTTCAGCATGACTGCAGCGAACGCCTTTCATTCCCTGTCGAGCATGAATAAAATTTTAGTTTCCATAGTCCATATATTAGTCAGATTCCATTCACAGTTAGCGTAATACAAATATATATATATAATATAATATAAATATAGATAAATATAAAGATGAGCACTAAGTTAATAAAGAGTAACACTAAATATTAGACATGAACCAAAGCACCGTTAATTCACACTTTAAGCCTGGTCTACTGAAATAGAGGTTCGTGGCCCACATGTGGCCCATACACAACATCCGGGCGGCCCAGTCTGTGTTTATTTTAAAAAATGCAGAGTGAAACTGGGAGAATGACAATTGGCAAGTGATCAGAAATTCCTACAGATGACAGGCCAAGAATGCAACACTCTGTGTAGCCTGCAGACATGCAACCCACAGAAGTGTTAGCAGTTTACTACGCAACAACACTTCCTTCTCAAAGCAGAGGTAAAATTAACTTGACCCCACATGGACTGACGTGTAACTCCTGCTTTCTCCCTAAACTCCAGACACTGAATATGTTTGATTTGCGGTGAGTGTGTTGATCAATTGAAAACGTTTTCATCACACATCTTATATTTCTGTCCTCATTGGATTAATTGGTGTCGAAAATCAGTTCCAACTGAGTTTATAATCATTCATTCTGCCCTTCAGCCGTGATTTAAGGAGAGTACCTCAAACCTGTAACCTTTTGAACTCTCCCACACATCACGTCAGTGAGGTGACAGTCACAGAACAGAGGCACTTTGTTCCAAACACACGTAATCAGAACTGTTTACTTAGGCAACACACTCATGACTGCCTGTTAGCATCGGCTAAAGCTGCACAAAAAACCGGAAAAACTCACCTAACAGCAATTCTCTCTGCAAAAGACGCTGTATGAAACTGTGGTGCAGCCACGAAACGAGGCTCAGAGACACTGAACGACGAGACCAGACCAGAACAGAGTTACATTTATTTACATACAGCCCGGAAAGAGAGGGTCACCCACAGGTATTGTTACTGGTGTCGGACAATGGCCCATCAGAGATATCAGAGGATTGTCTTTGATCAGTCATCCACTCACAGTTAGATATCAGTCAAGAACATTATTTAATAAGAGGTTGATTTGCAGCAAAAATATAGGAATTAAAAAAAAGGCTTAGTGCACAATATATTTCAGGGCTTCATCTTATTATGTGTAACTGAATTAGTGCTGGGCTGTGCTGTCATATACAGGTGAGTCCAAGTGTCAGTTTACAGAAACACCTGTTCTGCCAGGTCACAAAGCCTCCCATCTGGGTAACCTGGGCAACACGGCCCCGTTTGCTCCACGCTCCCACTGAACAGCAGACACAAGCACAGTCGCGTGTTGACGATGGTGGAAAAAGACAGACTTTTACTCTGAGCACAGTTGTTAGTGAGAAATATTCACTGCCAAACACACACACACACACACAACAAATACAACACACCTTACCGTCTTACACGACCTCTGCCTTAGACCATGGTGTTGACACAGGTTTACAATGAAGGCAATGCCTGCCAATGACATCAGCTCTCTCTCTCTCTCTCGCTCTTTCTCTCTCTCTCTCTCTCTGTGTCTCTCTCTGTCTCTCTCTCACACTCCTCCCTCTCTTCCTCTCTCTCTCGCTCTCCCTCTGTGTCAGCGCTGTTCTCAGCTGTGCATTATGGATTTGTGCCTGCTGAAGTCAACTTGCTACACTGGTTTATCCTCTCCCTCCCTCTCTCTCTCTCTCTCTCTTTCTCTCTCTCTCTCTCCCTGTGTCTGTATGGTCTCTGTCTCTCTCTCCTCCCCCTTCCATTGTTGTTCTCTTTCTTTTTCCTTCTCTCACGGGGTAGCATTCTTAACTCCACTTTACCAAGACTCAGCCCTCAACAGGGAGTGCACACACACACACACACACACACACACACACACACAGACACACACACACACAGACATGATCATTTGTGGGGACAATCTTTTCATTCATCAACCCTTTTATTGTTCTGGTTAAAAAAAAGGGTTCTATAGAATTACAAACCCGAACGTAAAGAATGTTGAATTTGTTTCTTGAAGACTGATGTAAAGAACAGGACTGAAGTTCAAGTTCTTCATTTGTCAGTCAAATCCTGGGAGTTATTTTTAGAAGGCATTGAATTACAACAATAATTTAGAAATGAACCTGTGGTATATGATATGTAGCAGGAAGATTAAAAAAAAAAAACAGTAAAGAAAAGCCTGTACGCGCGGTCAGGAAGTGCAGAGCAGAGTATGTAAATAATGCACATTGTAAGAAGAATGGAATTGTGGGAATTATGGAGGGCATCAAATTGTTTTTGTTTAAATGGGAGTTTGTTTGTGTCACAGTCTATACAGTTAATCACTAATATACTGTAGTTTCTGAGTGAATATATATTTTTATAAAATTCATGTTAGATTTTTTACTTTTTCATCTTTTCCTTTCACCTAGTGTCACCAGGGCAGCCTGACCAACAGCCTGACCAACAGCCTGACCAACAGCCTGACCAACAGCCTGACCAACAGCCTGACCGACCACAGCATGTATGCATTCATTGCACAAAGGGCAACCAGGACAGTTCACCAGTCCATCCCAGGGCCACATATGGTAAATGTACACATACGACCATTTACACTTATTAATATATTAATTAATAAATCATTAATACTTAATTAATAATTAATAATACTCAATAAATAGTGGGATGAAAATCAGAGTGACAAGTGGAAAAATCCATACTGAAAGAAAGAGTGGGAATCCAACTTCAGCACAAACCAGTTTGTTTGTGAAGGGCAGGGTCGACTTTGTGACAAACACAAACTAAGACTTAGCCAAATGATGTAGAAAAAAAAAGACAAAACACAAAAATAGCTACTAGTTAGCCAAATCAATAGATACAAACACTACAGACTACTAGCGTAAAATCTGAGTATGAGAGTTTGATTTAAATCACTAGAAGACAGTAAGTCGTCAAATACGCCCATGACCTGTATCAGGTCGATTTGTCAGCAATGTGAAAGATCATCATTACGTAGCTTTAAATGTTAGGCTGATAAACATCATAAACTCCAACTCAGAGATTAGCTTCAGGTTCAGACCAGAGGCCCCGATGTCTTCGTATGGCTCTAAAACACCAACATGGAAAAAATGTTGTTGTTTTTCAAACATACGGTCTTGTGTGATTTGTGTGAAAACCCAGAGTTCCAGTACAGACTTACACGCTCTCTGAGGCATGAAGGACTAGTTCAACAACAATCGCTCCTTTATCATGTAAGACGTGCAGCAGCAAAGAGGCTTAAATATAGATTTATAAATGGAAAAAAAGTGCAGAACTTACAGTTTTCTGTTGTCACCAGTCCCATCATCTCATCTCACTGCTGCTTTCGTGTTTGCATGCACCTGCATCTGTCTTTTTCATGCAACAAAGGAAATTGTGGTTATCACGTCTGGGTGACATTGTGTAACTGACGTGTCTGTCTGCCTGTAGTCAGAAACCTACAGCAGACTGAGACGAAACAGTGAACTGTGAAGAGACAGACCTGAAGATCCAACCAGTGTTCAGACTGGTCGGTTGCACGATCTTCTCAGCACACAAAATAAGTGTGTCTGTCTGTGTGTGTGTGTGTGCAAATAGCTCCAGCATGGCTCCACAGACACCCACCCTGGTGCCCGATACAAGAATGGCACCCTGTTTCTCTGCAGGATGTATGCAAATAACTTTCTCGCTCGAGCCATCGGTGGTTATAATTCATTCTTCAGGGTGTAGGATTAAGAGCAGCTGTTTACACAAGAGACAGTTTATGTTCTGTAATCAGCAAGTCACAGTGGGTATAAATAGTGGAGAGGGAATTCACGGAACAATAGACTGCACTCATGACAAAGTTAGGTCGTTCACTAGTTGGTATGTTGTCATCAGTGTCAATCTTAGAAATCTGTAATTATTACATTTGATAATTGTTCTTAATGTAGTCGTCTAGTTTGGTTTGATTGGATTTTTCATCTTTATTATTTTTATATAAAGTTGACGTACCAAAAAAGTATATTTTAACCACAAAAATGGACATAGCTAAGTTTTTAAGGCAAATGAGTGTATTTTTAGTCATTTTTTATCAAATCAATATTTAGTATGCCTGTATGTATTTATGTATGTATCGATGTATGTATGGATACATACATACATAAAAGGTAAGATAGGTGAAAAAAGTGAAAAATGTTCCTCTAAAAGTTTCTGTTCTGTCCGTTTTCAGATAACTTATTATTATTTTAGAATTCTATAAAATGTCGGAATGACTTTCCCTCAAATGTTCATTCATAGAAATGTCTTTATTGAATGATAATTCACGTTACATATAATGAGTTAACATGATGCCAGCAGGATTTATTAAGGCTTTCATTGTGATTCTGGCCAGCAGAGGTCAGCACCGGGCAAGGAGACGTCTGCGCCTCTGCGTACCGGTCACATGACTAACACGGAAGTCAACAAAGTATAGCGACATGTAACTACTCACAGGCACCTGTCTGTCGTTAACTTCCCCCTTTCCTTCTGTGTGTGTCGTGTTCCGTCCGCTCCATGTGTTTAAACAACGACCACCCCGATGTAAATGTTGGCTTCTTACTGGTCAAGTACCGGGCGTCGATATCGTAGTATTTTATTATAGTTTAGTCATAGAGTAAACACACTGTTAGAAAGATGCGAAAAGATTCGCTTCTCTCCAGCATAAATGTGGTGCTGGTCATGGCCTACGGAAGCCTGGTGAGTCTTTTTCACTGTTTTAATGTGTGTTTGTAAACTGGGAGCGGTGCAACAGATGAGTAAATCTGGTCTGAATTAAAAACGAATGTTTACACTTGTAAAAAGGTAACACATACAGTAAACAGCGGAAAATATGTATTTCTTTAAACGATTTAGTCATTGGCAGTAGTCTTTTTTTTCTCTTGTCTTTAATTTGCTGTATTTTATGCTAACACCGAAGCGGAAGCTGATTCTCCGTCAAACAGCTAAAATTTAGCATACAAACATAGCATCACATATTTAAAAATGTGAATATTTTGCAGGTTTTAAATTATATAACTTGTTTTCTGACGTGTAATTTAATTTGTGATGCAAAATTATCCTCTCAGAGCAGCTCAAAAGAAGGAGACAAACAAATCAAATTAAACAAACAGGGAAAACATCCTGTTTTTGGTACAAAAACATTGGGATTGATTTAAATTCTCCACTTCCTTTACAGATTTTTGTTCTACTGTTCATTTTTGTCAAAAGACAAATTATGCGGTTTGCCATGAAGTCCAGAAGAGGACCACATGTTCCTCTGGGCCACAACGCACCCAAAGTAAGAAAAAATAGTTTCCATTTTTTTGTTTTGTTTGTTTGTTAATGGTTCTCTCTCACTGTTTACTTCATTTTGTGATTCTGTGTCTGTGATGTAGGAGCTCCGACAGGAAATTGAAGCCAAACTGTGTCAGGTCCAGAAAATCCACTTTGAACCATGTCTGTTGTCCCCAGATGATGACAGGCTGAAGCAGAGAGAACACACGGGTGAGACAAACACACACACTCACAGACACACACACACACACACACGCTGACAGTGTACATGAACATTATAATATTTGTGTTTTAGGGTCAAGTTCCTTTGACTACTTGTACAGGATGAAGGCGCTGGATGCCATCAGAGACACTGGTCAGTTTGACTCTTCATTGACAATCACCACTTCATTGTTATTACAGTGAAAAGCAGTTTCAAAGGAGACACTGGTCAGTTTGACTCTTCATTAACAATCACCACTTCATTGTTATTATGGTGAACAGCAAAGTTTTTTTTCTAATCAATAAAATGTTTTGTTTTAGTCTAAGAAATAAAATGAATTGGTACAATATATATTTGTTTTTTTACATAAAGCTCATTTTTAAATGAAAAACTAGGACTTCAGTTTTCCCATACATTATAGAAAGTCAGCCAACTGTATTTTAAATTTCTCTGACTTGTGTTCAAAGATTTCCCATTTCGTGAACTGGGTGGAACTTCTTCTGCTGTGACGGGAAAACGATTCCGAACCTGGCTCCTGCAGCTGAAAAATTCCCACTGCATGTTCCGGGACAGCCATGTTTCCCTGATTGACAAAGTACTGGAGGGGTATAATAAAGCCCGGCATGGAGCTGAGGCCAGTAGTTTTTGGTTTACTGTGTAGATTGTCATCCTGTTATTTCGATTACTCTGAGTTTACTGATTTTCTGTTTTCCACAGGCCTTCGGTGAAGCCGAGTTTCTTAAATACCAAGAAGCTCTGGGTGAACTGGCCACTGTGTGAGTAAACACACAACTTATCCCCAGCTAATCCCATCCTGGAATGTTAAATACACACTCCCTCTGCCTTTGTGGTTCCAGCGTGAAGTCTCAGAGTGGCGGTGGCAGCAGCAGCAGCAGCAGCACACTGACGCAGCAGCACCAGTCTGCAGCCAAGGACCTGACCAGTATGACGGAGCCGGCCAGCAGTGCCTCCTCTCCCACCCAGACCACCTACCTCATATCAACACTGCAGCAGCGGAGCAAACGGCCCAGGAACTTCCTGGAGCTGAAGAACTTCAAAGATAACTACAACACTCTTGACAGCACACTCTGAGACAAGATCCAAAAAATCTTATGTCCTGCCAGCAGGGGGTGGTACAGTGATGTTACAGCCTTTGTTTTGTTTGTTTTTAGCACTAACACATATTTGCCTGGTTTGCAGCTCTGTGACATCAAACTACTGGGTCTGCACCGCTCAAGCATACAAGGGTAAGTCAAAAAGTTCTAAGACAGATGTTTGACTTTCAAGAGGTTGCAATTTTTTTCTATACTAGTGTCAAGACATGTCTCTGAGGTTTGTCTTTGGACATCTGTTCTTTGTCAGGTATTGAGCAGTGTTATGTTTTTTATAGTTTCTTTCCATCTTCTGAAATAACAATTTTAAATGTAAACCGACGTCAAGTTTTTAAACAACCTCAGATTGAAACCCTTTATAATTTTAACTAAACCACATCAGGACAGATTTTTCTGTGTCTCTAAATTTGATCATTATTTCTTTGTCAAATCTTGAGCTGTGTAGTGTTTTATTTGGTAAGATTTTTTTAACTATCAAAAATTAACGGCATATAAATAGAGTTTATTTGGCCAATTAGATTTGATATTGTTTAAACGGCACATGTTGGAAAAAGTGATTGCAACCAGAAGGTCTTAAGTGTTCATGTTCCTGGAGAGAGTTGTTCTCTGGTTTCCTCCCACAGTAAAAAAAAAAAGTCATGCAAAATGAGGTGAATTGTTCACTCCAAAATGATCCTAGGTGTAAAAGTGAGCGTGAATGCTCATTTATCCCAGTATCTGGACCTGTGATGACTGTAGAACTGTCCAGGAAGCTGGAAACGACTCCAGCTCCAAGGTTTCTTTTTCCTTTTTTTTCATTTGTCTTAGAACATTTTGACTTATCGTTGTGAACTCTATAACCCGTGCATGTGTAAGTAGCTGCTTAGGCTATTAGTCTGTATATATATATATACAGTATATATATATATATACATGTATACATATATATATATATATATATTCTTGTAGCGCTGATTTGACCAAATCATAATCAAAAGCTTTATGGCTATGCAATAGCTTCAGACAATCGGTTTACTGTATCTTGCACAATGTTCAAAGCCAATGCAGGTTTGTTCAATTTATATTACTGTATGTTGTCATGGTGATGATTACTGTTAACGTTACTACTGCCAGAGGACACACAGCTGTGTTGTCCCAGGTTTTGTTAATACCACATTAAGACAGAGTTGTTGTTGTTGTTTTTTAATTCTTCAACCACATTATTACGTCACCTTATTATTATGGTATATTACACTGCACTGTTCTTACACAACTGTGAATCAGAGTTGTTAAAGCCTTAAGTCTGACTTCAGTCTGACAGAAAATCTTAACTTAATTGTGATGCTCTTCTTTCTTAATGTTGTATCTTAGTGCAATGTAACTGAACAGTATTCCGGTCCACTGGTGTCTACGGAGCCGGAGGTAAAACCTCCGCTGATAATGCACTGCCTGTTAACGTTGTCTGCCTAGTTTTTTTTTTTTTCAGGATTCTCATAGAGACCAAATGCCTGTGGATTATTTTTTCATTTGTGCCAACCTCACAAACTGCCATTTAAATAAAACGGTGGAATCGATCAACTCTTTGGGTTTAAATATGTTGGTTTCTAGCAATATGAGGAGTGTCCAGCAGGTGGTGATCACGTCGAATAATTCACATGTTTGATTCTTTAAGGACAGTCTACTTTGTTGACTTTAATTTTATCCGTCAGAAAAACAAAGGGAACATTTTAAAAAATCTTGTGTAGGAACAAAAACTTTTCTGTTCCTACAAAAATATTACTAGTACAAAAGATTTTTTTAACTATCAAAAATTAACATATGAACCATTTTGTAAAAAAATGTGCATCGTTTCATCGTTACATCCCTGGTACATGCGGCATATAAATAGAGTTTATTTTGCCAGTTAGATTTGATATTGTTCAAACGGCACATGTTGGAAAAAGTGATTGCAACCAGAAGGTCTTAAGTGTTCATGTTCCTGGAGAGAGTTGTTCTCTGGTTTCCTCCCACAGTAAAAAAAAAAAAAAAGTCATGCAAAATGAGGTGAATTGTTCACTCCAAAATGATCCTAGGTGTAAAAGTGAGCGTGAATGCTCATTTATCCCAGTATCTGGACCTGTGATGACTGTAGAACTGTCCAGGGAGCTGGAAACGACTCCAGCTCCAAGGTTTCTTTTTCCTTTTTTTTCATTTGTCTTAGAATATTTTGACTTATCGTTGTGAACTCTATAACCCGTGCATGTGTAAGTAGCTGCTTAGGCTATTAGTCTGTATATATATATATACAGTATATATATATATATAC